TATGCCCTAGCCTCCACATAAGCACTGAGTCTCCAAGTGATTTTGAGGGAGTGGTTTCGCAGAATTTGACAATAGCTTCCAGAGGTACCGATGGTTTCACTTGACAAAACCATGAAAATGTGGGGGACCATAGCATTGCAAGGAGAAAGAGTGGGAGAGAAGAGAAGATGAGAGAGAATGTTGAAAGCGATGGGTACAAGACAAGAAAAAGGGGTAGGGGCCTATTTGGTTTCCATCTCGAGGTCATGTATCGCATCTGGCTAGCCAAGCCTCCTCTGGCCAGACTATGGCCATACAAGCCGTTGTTGTTCGGTTGCCTTAATTTACAACGCTAGGATGCATAGAGCAACTGTTTGGTTGCATTGATCCTTGGCTCGCACCTATGTTGTCGCTCTCTCGCGTGCACGAGCACATAGCCTAGCACGAGCCAGGCTACCCAGAAACAAATTCTAAATCTATTTCCCGTGAGCTAGGCTACAGGGGACGCTTGCACCGAGCCTGCCTGGGAGAAGCATAGAAAGCCAAATGTATCCCACGAGCCAGGTCAGGCTATATGCGGCCAACCAAACAGGCTCTAGGTTGGTTTCATCCCATCAATACAACGTGGAGCTTAACTTTTTATTGAGGCTAAGAGCATCTCTACCCGATGTCTTATCCACTCTCTCCCATAATCAGCTATAGGAGATCTCTTAAAAGCAATTTGAACATATAGGAGGGCAGTGTTGCAACAGATTACCCAATACTGATCTTATACCTATCATGATAAGTGGTACCCATATGTCATAGTTAAATCAATTTTCCTTCTCCCTTCCCAATCCTCTCTATGTTACTCCACTTCTCTATGAGCGACAGTGTGTCGGGAAAGTCTAGGGCGAGGGCACCAAACTTCTGGACCAGTGGCGAATCTAGAAAAAACTATGATCGGGGTCGGCGCAAACTCATGATAGAAATTTATAGTAATCTAACACCATAATACATGCAAAATATAGGCATAATTGTGAAGCCAGGCTGCAAAAATCAAGGATTCATATATAGGAGCGAAATTAATAATATTATAATAAGATAAGAATAAACTTTTTACAATAGTGGTTACCTCTTATAATTTCACTCTACGAGTACGATCATCCAATTCTAGAAACGAACTATGACATCGTCATTTGGGATTGCATCAAGAAATTCTTGTTCCACAAAGCAAACGACACAGTCATTCATAAATTCATCCCCAATACGGTTCCGTAGACCTGTCTTCGCAATTTTCACTACTAAAAAACATCTTTCCATTGATACTGTGGCGATAGGAAGAACTAGCACAAGTTTGAGGAGTCGATATACCAAAGGAAAAGCAATATGTTTTTATGTATCCACCATGAATCTACCAAGTTCAGAAATAGTATCCAATTGGACAAATCTTGCTTCGGCTCGCACATTTATCAATGTAAATATGAAGCTCAAGACTAAGATCGTCTAGCTCATTTGAATCAAATCACTAGGATATGCATTTGCCAACTCCATCGAACTCTCAAATTTGAAAGCATCAAAAGAATTATTGGGATTGGAAGCAGCAACATGGGTAAGCAATTCAGAATTTACCTCATTAAAACGATCATTAAATTATGTAAGCTGCAAATCAATAATTGAGTTCAAGCAATCATATTTGTAGTGATCATCACAGGGGGGATTTTTTCTTTTCAAGAATCCTTCCATTGTGCTTTGATTGGCTATAAAATTAGTGAACACAACTAAACACTAAAGTAGATATTGAATAACAATGAGCGTACTGCATACCATGCGTATATTTCCTTACGACATGTTGATATTGCTCCAATCACCAATGTCACGCCGCCACGACCACCGCTGCAAGATCTGGCGATATCTGCGCAGTCAGAAGGTATTCTTGATTGCGATGATGGGGGCGATCGCATAAAGGAAGAAACCTAGAAGTTGAATCGGAAAGACAAAGCATCGGTGGCGGCGGTCTAGGCGAGAGTAATCGACGGCATGATTTTTGGGCTTGTTAGCTTCTTGGCTTCTGTTGTTTACTGGCTACACGATGTCCATCCATGTATTCATATTGGGCTTTTGCGTTTGCGGCCTGCTGGCCTTTGCACTGGGCTGCACAGTTGTTGGGGTCAATATTTAATTTCACTGGGGTCCAACATGGTGAGAATACAGGGGTATCGCTGGTTCTACGGAAGTCATCGGGGTCGGTGGACCCCGACGCTTTACTGTAGATCCGCCCCTGTTCGGACCAAAGGGTGGGGAGCACCACGGGCACCACCCGACACTCATCTTCTCCGAGTATGAGAGGATCCCTTAAGGTGTCTCCGGAGGTGGCCATGGAGACGAGAGGATCCCTGCGGCGTCTCCGGGGCAGCCATGGTGGCATCCAGGTTTGCGCGTGCCGGCGGTGCCAGCATGTTGTGCAAGTTCGGGCGTGTCGGGGGGGCGGACTAGTGGTGCGGTGGCGTCACGTCAGGAGGAAGGGACAGTGTGGGACCTACGGATAGGAGATGAAGGATTGTCTCCTATCTTTAGGAAAGATGTGGATAGAATTAGGAGAGATCTCTTAAAAAATATAGGGAAATGGAATATGGTAGGGGATGTGATGGAGGTGCCATATCTCCTATATCCCAAAGTTTTGAGGAGGGATATACACATACAAGTATTTGTACTGATAAAACATTCGAGGTGAGTGTGACTGTGACAGTGACTTTGCAAGTATCTGCGTACATCATCAAATCCGGATTGTACGTAGTGTGTGACGAATGAAAGACATTCATTTGCAGCAAGTAATGGACCAACTGTGTGATCTTATTAGAACCGATACCGATTGATATGAAATAAGTTCGCTGGTCTGAAATTTGGCTGAAATTGACTAATTTTATGAGAGAGAAATACTGTAACAGCTGATTGATGAATAATATTTGCTGAGAGGGATCAGCCGAGCCAACACGCCCACTATCAGCATAGTCGTTATAATTAATGCGTAGTAAGGACCGCCTCCAAATGAATCTCTGGCTAGCTAAACTCCAACTAGCTGGCTTCTCTTTGTACTGCTAAAAATATACGGATATATACAAGTTGCTGCAGCATCTGGCAGCCGTACGTGGCCATTGGCAACTTGGCAAGAACAGCACAACACCACGTGGGACAGCACGTCTGTTTAGTCGTATTTGCTTATAAGCTATATCTTATCGGTTAATGAATAATATTTTTCTCTCACACCAAACCAGCCAACAATATTTTTAGTCAAACCGTCCAAACGAACATGCTCCCAGCGAACTTGATGCACTTGTCGGTACAGTACCACCATTTAAAAAAAATGATGAGGCGCCACCCAATCATCTTAAAAAGAATGAAAGGTACCTCTGGTTATTAGTTCGTTCTTGCTCTGAATAATATCATCCTGCTACTACGTGCTGATTGTATATATTTTTCTTTTTGGTGTTGGACATCTCAACAGAAAAAGGTAGAGGTCCAACTGGCTCTTGAAAATTGTCACTACACAGCCGTTTCTGTTTTGTCGGCAGCTGATATATAAGTGATACTAACAGATGAACTGTCCACTCACTTAGTTTTGTGAGCATCAACGCTTCCTTAATCCAATGATAAATTTATAATTAGGACGCAGCAATCATACACTTGATATGCTATATATTATGGGAAAAAAACAAATAACTAAAGACTAGTAAATGATTCTACAATAGAAGTGACATTGATGTTTTTAGAATTCATTATTGGCTAAAATTTTCTAGTCACGAACATTGCGAGCGCACATTTGTTGTTTACCATAATTTGTATTCCGCTCGACTTAGTAACCCTTTATGGACCATTACTCTTGATTAGCAATCTAAATATCACGAGAAAAGAAAATTTAAATTTGTTGCAAGTCATCTATGTGGATCCCGGTCTTCTAGGGAGCATGCTTTTACTTGAACAGTCCAATTGAAAATATCCTACGCCGTGAATGACTTTCAACCCCTATATGAGATGAAGGAAAAATAAGTCTTAAAATTTTTCGGGATATAAGTATATAACCCTTCTGCATGTTATTATTGCATGATTTACTCAACCATGTCTTGCACATCAGAGAAACAGGCAATTGCAAAATAATGGGAAAACATGAATTGATCCGACAAAAAATAATGCCAATTAAGTAGCAAAATGATAATTTGAAGACCAAACACCACAAGAACAGTTTGGCGCCCCCGCCAAAGCACCTACCGTGACAGGACAAAGAAAAAAAGGTAAGAAAAGCTTGGTGCCTGCTGGTTAGTGTCAATTTTCTCAAGCCGTGAACGTGATACATGAAAAAAAAACCCTCCTTGTCACTTGTCAGGTCCCTTTCATGTCAAGCTCTTCTCCGGCTGGCAGTGGCAGGGTGGAGCGGTGGTTCACGTTCACGGCTTGAGAAAATTGACACTTGAGTGCAGTTTCCCTTGCAAGCATCGGCGAAGCACCAGCTTTGCATGCCAATGCCATTAGTGCTAATACTAGCAACAATACAAGAAAAGCGGAGGGCTCAGAGCCAAAAAGGCCCATGGTTTTGCAGCCAATTTATTTTCTGCCCATAAGTAAATGCCAGCTCTCTCTCTGTCGCTCGCCATTCACACTCCGCAGCACAGCAGCAGCAGCGGCACACTGTTCTTGTGCGGAGGAATTATTTATTGCCACCGCATCGAGGTTCATAGTACGGGGAAATTGATTGCTCATTCCCCTCTGCTGCCTCCATCCACCTCCACGCTGTTGAATTTCTTGGGATATTTTCCTCCCCTCGGCGCCGGGGCAGCATTTGCTCGCGATTTATAACCGCCCCGCTTTTGCTGCTCCTTTCTGCTTGTCCTTTTTTCCCCCCTAGTGGGGAGGTTAGCATCCGGCACAAGCAAAGCGCCGGGTTCTTGTCGCAGTTTCTGCGCGCTCGCTTTTTGGCCGCAGGATCTGATACAAAGAGGAGTGGGAGAGCCAAGAGAGGAGAGGTTCTTGCGTGGAGTTCTTCGGCGATGAGGCCCGACGCCCGTCTGGATTCGGTGGTCTTCCAGCTCACCCCCACCCGGACCAGGTGAGAGCATCCTATAGATCTGCTCATGAAGCGGCTTTTGATTCGGGGGATCGATCGTTCGTTCGTTCCTTGTGTTTTGATTTCTGGAATGGGAGCAAGAACAGATTTTTACGAATATTTTGCGGTTACAAAATTTGGTCTTTGTGACAGTTCATGTGCCGTGCATTTTGATGTTTGGTACTCGGAAGCTTCCATTTGGAGAACAGTTCTGTTTACTTACACTGTCCTAAGATGGTTTTGTCCATGTCAGGACTGGAATTTGGCCCAACAAACGATTGGTTGTCTCCGTTGCCTGTAAAATTATAGTAGCAGATCCGGCGATTCTTGTATAGTAGTAGTAGTAGTAACTACATATTAGACATTTGTTAGAGAAATGTTAAAAAAGGTACTCTGACGAGTAGACTAGATCTCTTTCAGGTTTTGTCATGGAATTTACTATTTTGTCCAAGGTCTCTGACGGAAGTTGTCCTGGTACTGTTTTCGCCTTTCAGGTTCGATTTGGTTCTGATAGCGAATGGCCGGAAGGAGAAGTTTGCATCTGGTTTGTTGAAACCGTTCCTGGCTCACCTGAAGGTCGCCCAGGATCAGATTGCCAAGGGAGGCTACTTGATCACACTTGAACCAAACTCAGGGTTCGATGTGCCGTGGTTCACGAGAGGCACCGTGGAGAGGTTGGCGTCTAGATTTCTATACTACTGTAGTACAGTTACTCCTGGCATTGCCTATTTGCCTGTTGGGTCATTCTTGTGTCAACTCTTCGCAGATTTGTGCGTTTCGTGAGTACTCCGGAGGTCCTTGAGCGAGTCACAACACTAGAGTCTGAGATCCTGCAGCTTGAGGATGCCATTGCTATCCAGAGCAACGACAGTCTTGGATTAAAATCTGTAAGTGCAGAAGATTTGTAGCTTATGGGTAGTTGCTGTGTGTTTTTCTTTTGTGGAAAGATGACATATTCTTGCTGTGCCATTTAAAAGGTCGAAGACCATGGAAGAAAGTTGACTGAAAGCAATGAAGGTAGTATGACACCGTACCAACCTGATTCTTTCTGTGAGCCTGTTGTATAGAATATTGCATGCCTTTGAGGATTGTGTAAATCTCAAACATTATTTCATTGGGCTACCAAAAAGAAAAGTAAGGTGCAATCCACTACGATTATTTTAGAATCTAGTCATCATGGAGTTTGATGCGACATCACATCAAGGGCCATCATTAAGTTGGTACTTATCATTTAACTCCCAAAACGTTAGGGATCATAGTCTGATTTATGGACAACCTTTACTATCGTTTAATGTTATGAAGTAAGTAGGTTGAGTTTGCTGTGTGATCAAAATAATTTACTCCCTCCATTCCAAATTATATGACGTTTTGGCTTTTCTAAATACATAGGTTTTGCTATGCACTTAGATATATACACCATGTCTGGATACATAGTAAAAACAATGTATCTAGAAATGCCAAAACGTCTTATAATTTGGAATAGAGGGAGTCGATATGAAGCTATATTTTTTTTAAAGTCCTGAATATTTAGTAATATCTTATTTCCAACCAGAGAATTCTGGATGCTATTATGTTCTGCATTCAGGGGAGTACTGGAATGGATCGAGCTGTTTCATCCTTTTATTCGCCTTATGCCCTTACCTGTCACAGCCTGCCATATCTTTTTATTTATTTCTACAACATGTTTGACACTATCCATCCACTAATAGGTGGACGGGCAAATTATGATCTTGATTCAGCCACGGCAATTGTTGTCTACAAGGTATGAATATATGGACAAGCCAAATTTTGTTTCTGTAATTGTATTATGGTACAACGCTGCAGTCTGATTGGGATATTTGATCAATGACAGCCTGGGTCAAATTCAATGCCACCAATGCAGAATGAAACAACAGCACATGAGGAGAATTCAAAGTACTTACACATCTCAGTTTTTCTTGTAGAATGTTATTTGTTAGTCTTCACATTTTTTTTTGGCTAATAGGGCTGTATAAACTCAGACCAACCTAGGAGGAAACCAGGTGGCGTTGTAAATAAGAAGAAATAGGCACCCGCTTTTGAGTCCAATAGGATTTGTACCTGGATGATGGGGGTGTCTGCCCACATCACCCACCAACTGAACTAGGCTCGGCTCATTAATAGAGCTGTATAAAGTCATACTCTACAAAATGAATAATGAATTAAAGGCATCTAATGGAGAAATATACGAGAACATCGTTATTCATTCACTGTTCTATTGTCTTGATCTCCATTACAAGCAGCGTATATACTCTGAGATCATGTTTAGTTTCTTATTATTGTAAGTGTCTTTCTACGGTAGAAAGCTGTTAACAGAACTGCATTACAAATTGCAGAGTTCAATTGCTCAGAGTGCTTGAAACCCGCAAAAATGTGTTAAGAAAAGAGCAGGCTATGGCTTTCGCTCATGCTGTGGCTGCTGGGTTTGACATTGACAACTTGGGTTACTTGATTGCGTTTGCAGAGCGCTTTGGTGCTGCACGTCTGATGTAAGTATAGCCTTACAATTACTCGGTGGTTTTATATGCTGGACTGAACTAGTTGTCTTGATATCTTCTGTGCTTTTAAGTTGTAACTTGACCTTAGAGATGCTGCCCATGAAGCTTGTATCATCTGGCGCTTTTATTTTGTAGCATGTCATAAAATCAGAATAGTGTGGAACTGTGGATAGCTCAGATGTTTTGGTTTATTCAGATGTGAACAGCTGTACTATTGCACGCTCCCTTCCTTGGTAGTGTTATCGAACTTTGTTGATCAAGTTATACTATTGCACAAGTTTTAGTCAGTTGTCTGTCATCAAACTAATAACATTTTGTCAATAGATCTTACATGTTTAACTGCCTCAATTTCACTAATTGAGCAGGAAGGCATGTTCACATTTCATCGAACTGTGGAAGCAGAAGCATGAAGCTGGACAATGGATTGAAGTTGAACCTGAAGCAATGTCTACACGCTCTGAATTTCCTCCATTTAACGCATCTGGCATTGTGTTCATGGGAGACAACATGAAGCCAAACCTGGAATCAGGGTCTATTAATGGAGAGGCAAATGGCGAGGATGGAGCTAAAGCTGGTATAAGTTGTTGCGTTTTCCCAAAAGAAAGCATGGCATTTGAATTTTGAACATTGAATGAAAGTAGCCCCACACACACACACACACAAAAAAAAAAAAATATCTTTTCTTTTAAGCTAAGAATGTTACCAATGAAGCACCACTAACATTACTAGTAAAGAAAAAACAATATTCTTCTATGTTTCTAGTTTCCTTCTATTTGTGGGAAGGGGAAAATAAATATTTTGAAATATCAGCATTTCATTTATAGTTTTATATTCCTGTTTTAAGGTGGATGTGCTATCCTACTTTTCTTATTCAAGAATGAACCAGATTGTAGTTTTCTCTTGGTTGGCATTTGGCAATGCTTATCCAGCTTTGCCTTAACCAAGTTATTTCAAGCATTAAGAAAAATCATTTAAATAATAAGCAGAGTTATACTTAAATGTTGTGCAATCATGGATTTAGTTCATTTCTTGTCACTCTGTTAAGCACTTTAGATATTCTCTTACTGCCCATTTTTGAGAAAATATTTTCTTTCTGCTTTGCAGATCAGAAGTCAAGCCAGCAGATGGGATCTCATGCTACATATCCTCCATGGGCAATGCATCCATCTGGTGCAGTTGTTTACCCACCTTATCCTATGCAAGGCATGCCTTTCTATCCTGGGGTGAATCCATACTACCCTCCATATCCTCCAGTGGATGATCCCAGGTACCACTACTCAGGAAGGAAATCTTCGAGGAAGCACTCCTCGGATAGTAAGGACTCAGAAACTCTTGATGTTGAAAGTGACCATAGCAGTTCAGATAGAGGAAGTTCTCAAGGTCGCAAGTCACATAGAAAGGGGAAGAGGTCTGGAAAGAAGAAGCCTAGTGTAGTTGTTATCAAGAATGTGAATGTAACATCTAAAAAGCATGGCTCATCAGAGAGTGAATCACAATCAAGTTCTGAAGTTGAGTCTGCGGACAGTGACAATTCACACTCCAAATCAAGAGAAAGGAAGCATAAAAGCACAAGTTCAAAGAAAAAGGAGGGTAGGAGAACTACTTTTGACTCGGGAGATGAGTATAGCAAGGATGAAACGTCAAATGGCCACGATGCTGAACAAGGTAACTGGAGTGCATTCCAAAATTTCTTGTTGAGAGCAGAAGAAAAAACAAGATCTAGTGATGCAGACCTGTTTGCTGGTGAGAAAGAACCCCCGTCAAGGAGAAAACAGAATGTAAACACAGCAGATCCTATTCTTTTAGCTGACAGAGATGGTGGCAATGTCTATGAGCGGAACAAAGTAGGCTTTGATTCAGCCAATGGGAGGACTAGAGCTATCCGGGTCATGTCCAATGATGAACTTATTATGTCTGGAGAAGGGAGAAGCTATATGGATGGTGAAATAAAGGAGATTGAAGCGGGTGGAGGAAGGTACAGGAGAGGGACAGGTGATGACTTCATGGTTTATGGTCAGGGAAGTCAGATAGACAGACATAGTTTGTTGGATCCTCTTGCAGAGGCCCAGTACAAGAATCCTGTTCAGCAGGACAAGAATAGGAATGGTGTGGCGGATGAGTCCTTTATGATTCCTCTTAGGTCCAGCTCACAGGATAATATCGGAGCAGAAAGCAGAACTACTATTGACATAGATGTTGAGCTTCCTTCTAGAATTCAGAAAGCATCAGATGAAAAGGCTGGGCATCAGCTTTTTTACGAACCTGATGAATTGGTGCCAGAGCGTGGATTTGAAGATGTTTCATTTGGATATGATCCAGCAATGGATTATGACAGCCACATGCAGACTACTGTGAAGGTGGAAGATGCAAAAACAGAGGATGTCGTGCCAGTTACTGAGGGTGATGTACAAAAGGTAGAGAAAGAGAAGCCAAGGAATGCAAAGGATGGTTCAGATAAACGAAGGAAAGATGCCTTATTGAGGAGGCTATCAGCACCAAGGACCCCACTGAATGATGCACAAAAACGTGCACAGAACCTGCGTGCATATAAAGCAGACCTTCAGAAACTGAAGAAAGAACAGGTATTTCACATTTCATTCCATTTTCCCTTCCGTGGGTTCCATTTCTAGCCTACACCAGCTTGCTTGGGATAAAAGGCTTTATTGTTTTGTGATCACCCTTTCAAATGGCCAACTAGCTAAGTTTAAACACAATTCAGTACAGTTTCTTGAAATATTACATGCCTGCTAGCAGTTCTTGTAAGGCAGAATTTCAAATAGTTAACCTCAGCAATAGTTTCCCTATTTCAGAAATCTTATGAGTTTTATGTATAATGTACTCTGCATCCAGAAAAAAAGAGGGGATATATATCCTACTCCATAACTCTGTATTACATTACTTTTTAATTTTTTAATATGATAATCTGCCTAGTTGATGTTTTATCATTGTTGAAAAAAGCTTAAGAAAACCGAGCATGCGATTACTTTCCCACGCATATATTTGGAGCTGAGTTTGTCAGAGTTTGTTTCATTCTTAGGGCATGTTTCTAAATCTGATTGACAAACTGTACAATGATATCATCTGTGTAGTTGATTGCTAGAAACTTTTCTTATTTTCAGGAAGAAGAGCAAATAAAGCGATTGGAGAGGCTTAAATTGGAGAGGCAAAAGAGGATCACCGCAAGAGGTAATGGAAAGGGTCCAGGGAATGATGCTCCTAAAGCGAATGGTATGAATGGACTTAGTAAATCAGTTCCAAACTTCACTGGGTTGAAAAAGGAGAAAAATGGAACAACTGAATCACTCAGCGATCGACTGAAGAGGCTTTCTGAACCCAAAAGCATTGCTGGGGCAGAGCATTCCTTGAATCCAAAGCCAACTGGTGCAGACCATTCACGAAGAAGAAGCATGTCATGAGTTGACGTGAGATGGAGAACCGAATATCTTGAATCCAGCGTGCCACTCGCTAGCCCAGTAACCTACCTACCTACTAGAACCATGAATGGCATCTCGAAAGGCTTCTTTGTACAGAAAAAGGAAATGGCTGGTCTGTAGCATTGCCTGCTTCCAAGGTTTGTGATGGAAAATCTTTCAATGGCATGGCGTTATACTTTCAATTTTAACATAATTATTTCATTCTTTAATTGAGGGTGGTTTGTAATAGCTGTAAACCTGGTTTTTATTTTTGGCGATGAGGAGCTATATTGTGGGTGTATTTATGGAACGGATTGATCGGTGTTTGAGATGTATTGTAGTATTTATTACAGTGTATAAATGTCAATTGACTTTGGATTGGACGAGTTGGGCCCATCCAATTTGTACGGCAGTAGCATAGTATGCTACAGTTGGATGACCGTATTCAGAGCTCTGTATCGAAGGCCCAAGGATCAGATCAAGTGATTGCTACTTGCCTTCAATAAAGGCGCTTGATCTCCTTTTAAAAAAAACACTGTGCTTGTGGATGTTCGGAACTCCGTCTATGCCTCAACATAGAAGGTTGTGATAGGCGTGGCGAGCCAACGTTAAACTTAGTCATTCTAATGGAGATGAAACCCGAAAGAAAACTGTTGTGGCGTAACCCTCTTAGCGACGCGCTATATCGGAACCTAGGTATGGTGTTAAATGAGCAAGGGCCGGGTCGTCACCCTCGTGACGCGTCGTGTCGCGATCTAGGCACGGTGTCAAATGAGCAAGGATCTTGCATCTATAGTGGCGCGCTACATCGGCGCCCGGGTGTAGTGAAAAATGAGTAATGGTCTTTACATCTGAGTCGACGGGTGCGAAGGGTAAGGAAACTAGTCGAACCAACTATGATCTATTTAGGTAGTTGGAATGTAGGGTTGCTTACAGGTAAGTTAAGAGAATTAGTTGATACCGCGACTAGGAGACGTGTAAATATATTATGTGTTTAAGAGACTAAATGGAAGGGTCAGAAGGAGGTGGACAATACATGTTTCAAGCTTTGGTACACAGGGACAGTCACGAATAGAAATAGAGTAGGAGTTTTGATTGATAAGGGCCTTAAAAATAGTGTGGTGGGAGTGAGAAGGCAAGGAGATAGGATTATCTTAGTCAAGTTTGTCATTGGTGATATGGTCTTGAATGTAATTAGTGCGTATGTCCCAAAGTAGGCCTCGACGAGAGTGCTAAAAGACAGTTCTGGGAAGACTTAGATAGCCTGATTAGAGCTGTACCTAGTAGTGAGAAGCTTTTTATAGGAGATCTTAATGGGCATGTAGGTACTACAAGCGCAGGTTTCGAGGCAGTTCATGAAGGTTTTGGGTATGGTAGTAGGAATCAGGAGAGGGAGAAAGTTCTGGACTTTGCGGTAGCTTTTGACCTGATGATAGCCAACACTTTCTTTAGAAAGAGAGAATCTCATCTAGTGACCTTCAGTAGCGGACAACACTCTAGCCAGATTGACTTTGTCTTCGCAAGAAGAAAGGATAAACGAGCATGCTTGGGTTGCAAGATGATACCGAGGGAATGTGTTGTTTCTTAATATAAGCTTTTGGTGGTAGATTTTTATTTTCAGGTGCGTGCCCGTAGGGATAAATAAGCTAAGATTGAAAGAACAAAGTGGTGAAAACTAAAAGGGGAGACGTCAAAGGTATTCAAGGAAATGGTTATCAAAGAGGGCTCTTGGAAGAAAGAAGAGGACATAAACAACATGTGAGAGAAGATGGCAACCAACATTCGAAAGGTGGCCTCAGAGGTGTGTGGAGTAACCAAAGAAAGTGGATGCGAGACTAAAGATACTTGGTGATGGAACGAGGAAGTCCAAAGGGCTATTAAGGAGAAGAAAGAATGCTATAGACGCTTGTACCATGACAGGAGTGTGGACAACATAGAGAAGTACAAGGTGGCAAAGAAGACTGCAAAACAAGCTGTAAGTGTGGCAAATGGTAGAGCGTACGAGGATCTTTACCAATATTTGGGTACGAACGAAGAAGAGAAGGACATTTATAGGATGGCTAGGGTTCGTGAGAGAAAGACAAGGGACTTCAACCAAGTTGAGTGCATTAAGGATAAAAGGGAGCATCTCTTGGTGAAGGAGGGTGAGATCTGACATCGATGGCAAGAGTATTTTGACAAATTGTTCAATGGTGAGAATACGGACACAACATTTTCAGTTGGATGACTGTTTTGATGACACCAATAGGCGCTTTGTGCGGAGAATCCAAGAATCCATGGTCAGAGAGGCGTTGAAAAGGATGAAAGGAGGTAAGGCGATGGGACCGGATGGTATCCCAATCGAGGTGTGGAGATGCCTCGGGGACATAGCTATAGTATGGCTAACCAAGCTGTTCAACTATATTTTTCGATCGAACAAGATGCCTGACGAGTGAAGGAGAAGTATATTGGTACTGGTCTACAAGAATAAAGGGGATATTCAAAGTTGTACTAATTACCAGAGAATTAAGTTGATGAGCCATATTATGAAGCTATGGGAGAGAGTTATCGAGCATCGCTTGAGAGCAATAATACGGGTCTCTATGAACCAATTTGGTTTAATGCCTGGAAGGTCAACCACGGAAGCCATTTTCTTAATAAGACAAGTTATGGAGCGGTACAGGGAGAAGAAGAAGGACCTACACATGGTTTTATTGACTTGGAGAACGCTTATGATAAAATACCAAGGAATGTTATGTGGTGGGCTTTGGACAAACATAAAGTCCCAACAAAGTACGTCGGACTCATTAAGGACATGTACAACAATATTGTGACCAGTGTTCGAACAAGTGATGGAGACACAGATGACTTCCTGATTAGGATAGGACTACATCAAGGGTCAGTTTTGAGCCCTTATCTGTTTGCCTTAGTGAAAGCTCTAGTTTGGTTTTGGTGAATTGATGAAACCCTAAGTGCTAACCTAGTTTATCAAGTGATCATGATATAGGTAGCACACTCTAAGTGATGAAGCAAATGAAGATCATAACATGATGATGGTGATGCCATGGTGATGATCAAGTGCTCGGACTTGGAAAGAAGAAAGAGAAAAACAAAAGGCTTAAGGCAAAGGTATAAATTGTACCAGCCATTTTATTTTGGTGATCAAGACACTTAGATAGTGTGATCACATTTAGGTTCGATAACCGTACTATTAAGAGGGGTGAAACTCGTATCGGAATGCGGTTATCAAAGTATGGGAATTGGTAGAAAGACCAAAGGGACACAATATGATTGGAACCAAATGGGTCTTTAGAAACAAGCAAGATCAAGATGGGATAGTAGTAAGGAACAAAGCAAGATTAGTAGCATAAGGCTATACACAAGTGGAAGGTCTTGACTTTGGAGAAACATATGCCCCGGTTGCTAGATTGGAAGCAATTAGAATCTTACTAGCCTATGCTTGTGCCCACAATATTAAGCTCTATCAAATGGATGTCAAGAGTGCATTTCTCAATAGGTACATTAATGAAGAAGTATATGTTGAGCAACCTCCTGGTTTTGAAGATGACAAGAAGCCCAACCATGTATACAAATTGAAGAAGGCATTGCATGGCTTGAAACAAGCACCTAGAGCATGGTATGAGAGATTGATGGACTTCCTACTCTCTAAAGGGTTCATGATGGGCAAGGTTGACACCACTATTTTCATCAAGAAGATTAGAAAAGATCTATTTGTATTGCAAATCTATGTTGATGACATCATATTTGGATCAACCAATCAAGATTTTTGTGATGAGTTTGGAAAGATGATGGCTAATAAGTTTGAGATGTCCATGATTGGAGAGTTGAGTTACTTTCTTGGTCTTCAAATCAAGCAATTGAAGAATGGTACTTTTGCGAGTCCAGACAAGTATATCAAGGACATGATCAAAAAGTTTGGCATGAGTAATAGCAAAGTCATTAGCACCCCAATAGGAACCAATGGCAACTTGGATAGTGATGCAAGTGGAAATATGGTGAATTAAAAGTTATATCGGTCTATGATTGGAAGTCTACTCTATGTGACCGCATCAAGGCCGGATGTCATGTTTAGTGTATGCATGTGTGCAAGATTTCAAGCCTCACCAAAAGAAAGTTAGGCTACAAAGAGAATATTGAGGTACTTGAAGCATACACCAAATGTTAGTTTGTGGTATCCCAAAGGAGTAAAGTTTGAGCTAGTTGGTTACTCCGACTCGGATTATACAGGATGCAAGGTTGAAAGAAAGAGCACCTTGGACACATGTCAATTGTTGGGAAGATGACTTGTTTCATGGTCATCAAAAAAGCAAAATAGTGTTGCATTATCAACCACCGAAGCCAAATACATATCCGCCGGTAGTTGTTGTGCACAAATTCTTTGGATGAAGGCCACCTTGAATGACTTTGGAATCAAGTTCAAGAAAGTGCCATTACTATGTGACAATGAGAGTGCAATCAAGTTAACCAACAATCCGGTTCAACATGCAAGAACAAAGCACATTGATGTCCGCCACTATTTTATAAGAGATCACCAACAAAAAGGGGACATTTGTATTGAAAGTGTAGGCACCGAAGATCAACTTGTCGATATTTTCACCAAGCCATTGGATGAGAAAAGGTTTTGCAAGCTAAGGAATGAGTTGAATATATTGGATTTCTCAAATATATGTTGATGCACCCCTCACTTTTATGACATGCCTCTCCTTCAAGCAATCCAAGGTAAAAGTTGATTGGTATGACATACATCCTTGCTAAGGACATGTTTAGTGCATCTAGTCATCTCTCCATTTTATTAGGCTCATTCATGAAAACAAATGAATTTGATGTTTATATGGTATCACTATTGCTTCTATGCTTGACTTGATCTAGTGATAGCATATGACATGTTTGTGGGCTTGTAAACCTAGTGTTTAATCTAAAAAATGAGCTCTAAGTGTTTAACTCAACATGGTACAAGATAACCCTTATTAGGAGGTGTGAAGAAGCTTGTCCTTGGATCAAAC